CGTCATTCGGAGGTCGTAGTCCGTCATGGTTTCTTGAAATAGTAAATTGGTTCCTCTCAGTTCGTATTTATTCGTCTCGTCACAGTGGCCCGTATCAAATAGTTTTATTCGTGGATTTTTATTTCGAAAAGCTCTGTTTTCGATGGGGGCATATATTTTCTTGGATTTAAAACAAGTAGCACATACGCCCATGTTACATAGTCAACGACATTAAGGCCCCTACGAGCTGGTCGTGTGATACACTTGCCAGCTTTGCGACCAGGGTTCGATTTTTGGACATGAAAAGACCCAAATACCCTTTACATTACCAATTTCAAAAATAAGCACCAAATAATGTTTTTATTTTTTTTTTAATTCAGTCCCTTGAATTTTCAGAAAAGCCTTTTTTTCCTTAAGTCAGGGACTGATTTGCAATTTAAAAAAAATACAGTGTACATAGCTGACCGTCGCTCTCCTTATGGCGAACACTCTCTACAGCCTCACCTCCCTCCATATCCTCAGCCTCCGCTTTGCACCACCACTCCAACATTTTCTCCGAAATATTCGGTTCGGTTTGGAGCTAAGATTCAAGCTTTATTCTCTGGACTTGCAGCACCATGACACCGTTGTGGATCAGAATAGTTACCGGAGATCGTGATTCGTCGGAAATGCATGGTTTGTTTTTCTTGTGGTCGTCCCCGTCGGTGGACTTCGTTGGGGAGATGTGTGGGTGCAATGTATATTTTCAGCGGTAGATTTTTTGAAAAAAAATACAATTCAGTCCCTAGTTTTTTCTTTTTCTTTTTTAGGTTTTTTTTTTCCGATTATTTTTGTTTTTTATTTTGTTTTACGTTGTATTTCAATGAAGGTAGTATAATCATTTCATTTTAGTCAAAATATTTATTTCCACAAGGGGTCAGTGAACTAAATAAAATGTAACATAGGTGGTTAATTACTAATTTTTTTAACATTGGGTTTTTTTAGCCATTAGAGATTACACAAGGGGGTCTGTGCAAATAACTCCCATATCTCGGCACTTTTCTCTTTAGTTTTTGTATAAAAAAAATGAAAAATGAAATCAATTAAAATGAAGCTTTGCAGATTATTATAGCAAAACCCAAAAGAAAAAAATGGGAAAAATACAGTTTTCACCCCTCAAGTTTGCTCAAATTTCATATTTGGTCCCCCATGTTCCCAAAAAATACATTTGGTCCCTCATGCTTCAAATATTCAACATTTTTAGTCATTTCCGTCAATTTTCCGTTAAAACTAACGGAATCAAACGTGTTCCCGTCACTACATAACTGACGGATTTACGGTATGGAAATAACCATAAATGTCAAACTATTGAAACATGAGGGACCAAATGTGTTTTTTGTTAATATGGGGGACCAAATGTGAAATCGTTGTAAACATGAGGGATAAAAACTGTATATTTCCCGAAAAAATTTTATCTTAAAACCCCTGAAACCTAAAAGAAACCCTAACATATAAATAAAAGGGTAAATAGCACTTGACCCCTATGTGGTTTCACTATTTTGCACTTAACCCCCATGTGGTATCAATATAGGCGGATAACCCCCTTGTGGTTTATGATTAGTAGCTTTTTGTAATTTGAGTAACCAAAATAAGTAAATATCTATTTGCCCTTTTATTTATCTCATACTTGTATTGTTTAGGTTTACTTCACTTGATAAACAATTAGGCCTCACATTATTTTATTATATAAAAATAACATAATGAACAAAACTGGTGATGACAACTCCAACATAAATTTTTTATTTAATATACGTTTGTTGAATCTTTTTGTTATACATATTTTACTTTTTTATTTATTTATTGTCATTGTTCATCTGGATGTCCCAAAGATTTATTGTATTAAGGCGAAATTTTCATTTTTACTTTTATCATTATATTTTGGCGGTAAAATAAAAAGACTTGGTTTCGAATTAATTTTAAAAATGAAAGAAAACAATAATTTCTAATTACTGAAAGCAAGCCCAATATTTGTGCGTGCGTTAACATATCTTAGTAATTTATGTATTTTTCTTATTTTATTAAATCACATATTTTTTAAATTGGCTTACTAAAGTTTGTTTAACTAGTAGTTTAAAGAAATTAGAAATGACCATGGGGTTCATACAAGAAGGGCAACATGGGTATTTTTAGAAATTTATAGCTAGGAAAAACTCCACCACTTGCGAATTGGGTGAGTGAAATACACTCACTATTGAATATCTTACGAAAGCTACTCATTATAAACCACAAGGGGGTTATCCGCCTATATTGATACCACATGGGGGTTAAGTGCAAAATATAGAAACCACAAGGGGGTCAAGTGCTATAAAGAGTCATTGCACACTCAAATTTAACACCGTTCAAAAGTCTGACCACTAATCGTAAAAAAAATAGGGAGACATTTGATGTTTTATAATACATCAGGGGGTAAATGATACCTTTCGCACAGTAAAGGGTGCAAAATGAATTTTCTCTATTTTGTAATATAACTTCAACGAGTTCCATTGATCATATTTTGGACTTACAATATCTTATTATATTAACTTGTTTTATGATTATTGATGTGAAAAATCCATTTTCATTTTCAAAGGAAGAATAAGAAATAGAAACTTAAATTTAAATTCATATAATTGTGCTTAGTACACTTTTCTTAAATCACAAAGATACTAATTTTGAGAGGATACAATGTTCTTTATTTGTCCTTATTTTTTTATTTTTTTCCTTTCGAATTTCTATATAATCCGGCTAATAGTATTACACGTTGACCGTCAAACGAAGAACATTCAATACCGTTTCCTCGTTCGGTACAACGTTAATTTCTTGTGAACTCGAAACCGCGTCTCCGTTAATAATTTTAGCTTCGAATTCACCATGGAAAAGAGAAGCCTCGAAGTAGCCATTAGAATCGGTGGTGCCACGAAGACCATCGGCATGAGTCAACTCGTTTCTAAAACTGTCGACGACATTTCCGTTATCTGTGTTTCTGAAATTATTGTCCGTTAAACACGTGGCGTAACAATTTGTACACCTATCGTCACAACCCTGTGGGTCCCACGGTGTCCACAACATAATGCCTTGTACTGCGTTATGCGAGTGAATCTCCCTTAGTACCTGGTTCAAAATATTTGCCTGCCCAAATATAACACAACATATTTATTAGAAAATAACTTTATTATTATATATAACTCGCAATTCCGCGATGCACAAATTGCACAATATTAAACTAATTAGATGTGAAATTTAAATTACTAAAATCGCATCAATATTTCTACAAATATGGTTATACAAATTCCAATAAAAAGCATATACTAAAAAAACAAAACATATAAATTAATCAAATCACCTAACTTCTACAAGTGTTGGTACATTTTTCGATATATTTGTTATTCGTTAGAAAGAATTAACATTTCAAACGAATATTAACCACAAAATAATTTTTACGATTTCAAATTTACCTGGTTGGGCCCGCGTGTAACGTCCAACTCAGTCACCCAAAGCGGCAGTTTAGCGGAAGCAAGCATATCAATGGCGGATCTCGTATACGGCAGATTCGCACTAGTAAAATGCCCCTGCGCGCCAATACCCAAAGGACCACCATACCTGTCCCGCCTCATCTCATCAATCTTCTGCAAATACCTCGACGGCGACGCAACACCATCTCTGCTCTCCTCAATGGTGTTGTACTCGTTCAGAAACGGCACCGTCCTGCTCCCGTCAATCTTGTTAGCATACTTGTAATAAACGGTAGAAATGTTCGGGCCGAGCCTACTCTCGAAGAAGTTCCAGTGCAGATTCTCGTTCACTACGTCCCAGTGAATGAACCGCCCCTTGTATTTGGTCATCACTGAGATCAGCCTCTTCTGTGCGGCTGCACCTAAGTCGTTCGCCGAAAGTCCCGGCACCCAATATGGCTGGTATTTCGGATCATCCCATAATACATTGTGGCCGCGGATCGTGACTCCGTGCGATTTCGCTAGTGCAATCATCGCGTCGGGAACGGAGTAGTCGACGGAGCCTCTGTTGTATTCGGTCGAATACCTGGGATGTAAAGGTACATAGTGTTATATGTATAGATTTTTTTAGCAACTAGTGCGGGAAGTTAGCTACTACACCTGGTTATTTACATCAGATGGATTTGAATATTAGATTTGATTAAATAACTACATACAAAACACACACACACATGGGTGTGTGTGGGATTATGTGTAATTCTACGGTTCAAATCCACTCGATATAAATAATCAGGTGTAGCATCTATAGATAGATATTGTTATATCTATAGTTTTTTTTGGGGAAAATTACACTTTTTACCCCTCAAGTTTGTATTAATTTCACATTAGGTCATTCATGTTCACAATAAAACACATTTGATCCATCATGTTTCAATAATTTAACACTTTAAGTCATTTCCGTCAATTTACCATTAGTCCGATAGTCAAGGCGGTGATGGACACGCACTTGATTTCGATAAATTAACGGAAATGACTAAATATGTTTAATTTTTGAAACATGAGGGATCAAATGTATTTCTGTGAACATAGGGAGCCAAATGTGAAATTGGTGCAAACTTGAGGGTTGACTGTATTTTTCCCGATTTTTTTTTTTTTTAAACAATCAGCAACTAGTACCTTGTAGACTAACACATTTGAATCATAAGGGGGTTTTGCTAATAAAATCATATGGGGTGGTTCTTTTAGCAATTTTGATATAATGCAGGGGTACTACTTAATCTCAATAATTGCTTATTAAATTATATTACCATTTGAGTTCGTTTTGGAATACGGTGTATTTGAATCTGGAGAAGAAATAGTTTTGGTACGCGCCGTTTTGGACGATGTTTTGGTTCATGGCGCAGCCGAAGGGGAAATTGGCGTTGTTTTGTTTGATTGAAACGGTGGCGTTTGGTATGGGCTGGCCGTGCTGATCCACCGCCTGGAATTTCACCTTTGATTTACGGAACTGCATATACAAAATCGAAAAAAAAAATATTTATAAATTTAAATTTAAAGAAATAAACAATTAGTGAAAAAAATAATAAAATTAATTGTTAGAAATTAATATCACCTTCTCAATGCTTTGATCTTGGTGGGATTTCCACTCTTGTTGAGTAAATGGCTGCAATGAAATGCTGTCTGCCCAAATATCAACATTTGTGTTGTTGCTCTGCAAATAAATTCGAGGTTTAATTATTTTGTCGTACAAAGCTAATAGTTTATAAACTTCTAAACATCTTATAAATTCTTTTTAACATCTTATAAGTTTAACGAAACACCCTTAACGGTATTGCATGTGATTTATTCCTAGTAATATTCCTAACAATATTCATAAATCTAATTTCTATCACTTTCGGTAAGAAATCGACTCTAGTATATTCTTTCTCGAAATGAAGAGTAGAATGTAATGTAAATGGTTTTTTTTTCTTCGAGAAATTCTAAATTTTTAAAAAAATAAAATCAAACCTCAAAATAGAGCTCGGCGGGGCCAGAAACATTGACCACTAGTCCACCTTTGACCATTGACCAACAACCGCTTTGGGCTATTACCCAACCAGCATATACATTGCTTGTATTTGTCTTGAAAATTGCTGCTATATCAGCTTTTTCATGGCTTACTTGCAACCAAGCTACATAAATTTTTGCAAAAATAAAATAAATAAATTATTAAACATACATCATGAATTTTGTAAATTTATTGAATAATGTATATATATAAATATATATCTACGTATGTACCCGAGAAAGTGTAGAGTTTTTCTTTTTCTAAGTTAAACTTCTGCGAGAAACTATGGAATGGTTGTTTTCTTGCGGAAGCAACAATGTACTTATTGCCGTCGTCGGATTCTCTGTGCTCCACTGTCGAATCTTCGAATTTTGTCCATCCTTTCAATCCTTCGTTTAGTTCGGGATTCACAATCACTCCTCCCTCGTATTGAGGCTTTAACGGTTTTGCTAAGCACTACAAATATATAAATACAAAAAATTTAATTAAAAATATTAAATTAAAAGAAAACAAAAAACCATGCATGCATAGGAAATTAAAGATTGGTTTTATTAATTATTGGGACTTGCCTCTTTTGTGTATGAGTAATCATAAGGCACTGCATAAACTTGAGAACCTGTGCATATGTATCACCAAATTAATTCAATTCAATTTAATCGAATTAAACTTATAATAATTTTGAATTAAAAAAATAATAAAAAAGATGAAGATGAACTAATACCGATGACGAGGCATAGAATCGAAAATAAGATTAAGATCTTATTAGCCATTGTTTTTGTTTTGAATAATGTAAGATGCATGTCAATGCCATTCATTGTGTTCTATATTTATATAGATGATATGAAAGAATTTGATTGTATATATAATAATTTGATTTTCTTTTTTTCCATTTTTGGTAATTGACTTGCTTTATAATCACAAAATAAGCTTGTAATAATAATTAAAAAAATAATAAATATATTCAATATGATCATCTGGATATATAATATACTCACTATATTTATCAGAAATGAAATTTATTAAATATTTTATTCAAAATTATGCATTTGACTTGCTTATTTTACTGTACATTAAAAAAATCATATTTGTTTAATATGTTATTCAAATTCTTCGATATGCTATTTAGTCAAAATTCAACTCTTATTATTACAAAAACCTATGAAATATTTTTCCCAATTCAAAGATTGTATACATTACAAATATTACAACATAATTACATGTTATGGGAATGGGACTAATTTGATTTTGACTGCAAATATAAAGGACTAAAGTGAAATTTACCTGGTAAAGGCCACGTAGGATAATTAAAATTTTGATTCATATACAATACCTCTTATACAATTTCCACCCCTATACAATAGGTATCACGATTTTAGTCCTGCCACAGATTTAAAGCCTCATTCTTACCTCTATGACAGTTAATTATTAGGTTGCACTTTCCCCCTTGTACTTTGGCTCGATATCACTTTACCCCTTCTACTCTTGATTGCATCGATTGTCCCATGTACTTGAAATTGAAAATTGTCTCATTGAGGTTCTCGCCGTTAGTTTTCAAACTTTTGACATTAATATTGTTTGATCTATGTCTGAAAGTTACAAAAAATTCACTCCCAGTAAATAATTATTAAACAAAATCAAATTAAATTGTGACTGGCGTCGTGGACTTTGTTTTCTCGTTGTGTTGATTTTTTTACTATTATTTTTTTGTATTTTGTTTTTTTTAATAATTATTTAAACTGTGAGAGGTTATGTCTTTGTAATTTCAGAGTTTAGATCAAACGGTGTTAATGTCAAATGTCTGACAACTAATTGTGAGGGCCACATTGAGACAATTTTTGAAGTGTAGGGGGCAAATTGATGCAATCAAGAGTAGAAGAGGGTAAAGTGATATCGAACAAAAATACAAGGGGAAAGTGGAATTTACCTTTCTTTTTATCAGTAATTATTAGGTTGCATTTGATCTTTGAAAAAAGTTATTGAAAATTTAACATTAAAAGATTGAAGTCGTATTAAAGGGGCCTTTAGCAATAAGCACCTCAAAAGTTCAAAACGCTAATAAATAGAACAACTTACGGCCAACCCCTAGAGGTAAGCTTAAATTACGAAAACTCCCCTCTTGTTCGAGAAATTACAACTACCCTCTTCACCTATGTCTTTTCTTACGAAAAACCCTCTTCTTCAATTGGTAAATCTGACACTGTAAGGGTGAACGTGTAAGACAATACCTAGTTGAGGAGGGGTTGCTCTCAAAGTGGCTCCACATGGTCGCGCAAAGCAGTCGATTTCGTCTAGTTGAGTGCACAAAGTCCTCGTAAGACCTTGCAATCCTAGGACTATTTTCGAATTCTCCGATTGATGGGCTAGTTCTCGTGATAGAGGGGACCGATTGGAGTCCACTCTTTACAAAATCCAAATTCTTATCTTCACAGGTAAGAACAGCAACCACCAGAAATTCTCGATTATTATAACCTTGATTAAATAGTATATTTTTTGTCGGTCCCGACTTGTGGGTCACATACTAAATCAATATTTCGCTAAAATTCTAAGATAATACATATGTTATAAGTAGCAAACTAATAAAAAAAAACTTTAGAACTATTTTTTTACATTTTTCAAATGCAATTAAAGTTTTACATTTTTAATATTAAACATTCAAATTTTTTTCTTCAAAATACATTGAAAGGAAGGGTAACAATTAACAACATAATTCTTTCAGGGGCAAAACTATATAATTCCATAAGTTAAGGGGGCAAAATGACAATAAACATATATTTTTGGGGGGTCAAACGACATTCACCAAAATATAATCTGGAAACCGTGCGTTAAAATCTATTCCTCAGGGCCCTTTTGGTTTGATGGATAAGGGGTGATAGACAATTTAGTCACCCCTAATCCAGCGTTTGGTTCATAGGATTCAAGCCCGGTATGGATTAATGGCCCGGTATCAAATCATGCAAATGGGTGATAATTTATCCCACCTGTATAGGTGGGATTGTGTAATCCAATTTTATTGCACAAAGGGAAAATAAAAAATAGCCCTCAATTAAATCATTAATTAAAAGAAAATAAAATGTAGAACCCAAACATATCCTCATTCTTATTACACAAAAAAGAATAACTCTAAATTACATATTCCCATTTTTATTGCAATGTTCTGCGATTTTTGAGTTCAAGATTTCTGGGAATCAATTGAACCGAAACATTCTATTCTTATAATCTAGCCGAGAGTCCATGAAATCGTATTTAAGATTTGGGGTAGGTGAAAATTTTCAGAAACATCAACATTTGGGTGTTGGGTTCTTACCAAAGCTAAGCTATCTTCTAATCAATCGCCGATTATTACCAGGTAAATCTTCAATCTTTACATTAATGTGGTCTTTGTGTCGGTGATGATATATTTTCGCAATTTATGAGTTTAAAGTTGGGAAAATCGGGTGAAGTAAAAACCTAGATCTTAAATACCAACTACAAACATCTCACATATGTCCGAATCTCACTAATGCCCATGTATGTTTTACGTTTTTGCCGAAATAAGACTTATGTTTGTACAAATTGTATGATTATGTGGCTGTGACATTTATATTGGAAAATATTGCAGTTTAGAAAAAAAAACTAATCAGACTTAAAAGAAAAAAAAAACACAATAATATTAATTAAGTAATTAAAACGTATATATAAATATTCCTCCTTTGGAAGGGGAAAGAGGATCATGCAATATTGTGTCAAATGTTTTAAAGAGAACAAGAAACACAAAAGAAAGAATTTTTAGAGAGAAACATGAGAGATCAACTGGCACATGGATATGAGTATTTTTTTGATTTCTCCACTTGTTCTACTGATTTTTGAGGAGGTTGTTTCTCAGAGAAGGAAGTTGTATGTATATGTTAATATCTTGTTTTTATATTGCAAGTTTGTTTGTTGTGAATTTAATTCATTGAATTGTAGTTTGTGATTTACAAAGCGTCCAAAATAAATGCTCGGATATTATAATTGATTGTCGAAAATACACAAAAAATGTAACTTACACTTTGATTTGGGCAGGCAACAAAACGACGCCACATATTTAGTGGTGTCCAAGAGGTTTGCACATAACTCTTCAGCCCGCAGTGATAAACGTATGGAATTATTCAATTTCACTTTTAAAAGCGATCCGTCACCTCGACCGAAACCGTCACCACGTCCTCTGGAATTGTTCAATCTATTGTTGATCATAATTTTGAGTCTCTTTTCAATTTTGGGTTCACCGTATGGATGATTTGGGTCTCTTTTTTGCAGAACTTTTTTTTTTTTCCTTTTTTGTATTAATTATACATATCAGAAGGATTTTCGAATTGTGTTTTTTTTTCTCCTTTATATATGGGAAGTCAAGTGCATTTATTTTGACCAAGGGTTACTTTGTAAATTCATTCATTATCAGTCACAATCACTCAAACCAAACAAAAAAATTAAGTTATCCAATATTAGTAATTCTTCAAACCAAATGACAATATTCTCTTACTAAATAGTGGTGAACAGTACAATATTGCATAATCCTCATTTTTTAATCAATCCCATCATACGAACCAAAAATGCCGTCAGTGGATTTGCTTAGGGGTTCATTTCACCGCAACATTTTCACCACCGCCGCTGCCTACCGACAAAAGTGGTGGCGTCGCCGAGTAGTTTCCTCTACCTTACATTTATTAATCCAAATTTTTTTTGGGTAAATTACAACCACCCTGAGGTATGGACAGATTACAAAAAACTCCGTTTTGTTTGGGTAATTACATCTACCTCGCAACTATTAATCTACTTAGACCTCCACCCTTATGTTGTCAAATTCAACATAATCATCTAGATTCCCTGGAATGTGCTCTAGTTTGTACTCTTTTTTTTTTTTTCTAAAAATACAGTTTTTGATGCACCACAATCGGATATATACATGCAAAAAACACATCTTATGTAATAAATTTTAGGGTAATTTCACTTTCCCCTTGTACTTTGACTTGATATCACTTTACCCCTTTCTACTCTCGATTGCATCGATTTGCCCCTGTGTACTTGAAAGGTTATCTCAATGTGGCCCTCGCATTTAGTTTTAAGACCTTTGACGTTAACACCGGTTGATCTAAGTCTTAAAATTACAAAAAAACCACCGCGCCCAGTTTAAATAATTATTAAAAAAATTAAAAAATAAATTTTGGTTGGTGTCGTGAACTATGTTTTCTCGTCGCATTAAACATTTTATTATTTTTTTATTTTTTTTTAAATAATTATTTAAACTGAGAGAGGTGGTGTTTTTGTAATTTCAGAGTTTAGATCAAACGGTGTTAAGGTCAAATGTCTGACAGCTAACAACGAGGGCTACATTGTGACAAACTTTCTAGTGCAGGGGGGCAAATCGATGCAATCAAGAGTAAAAGGGGATAAAGTGATACCAAACTAAAGTAAAATAGTGGAAAGTGAAATTTACCCTAAATTTTATATGCATTGAATATATATTTATCAAAAGTGAACTTTATTAAATTTGCATTCATTATTATGCATTTGAGTTCTTATTTTACTTAATATTAAAAAAACAATATATTCGATAATTTTAACTTCCTTTGATTGGTTTTGAATTTCGGCTTTATTTATGATTGGTTTTGAGTTCCATTTGTCATAGTTTGGACGGTTTTTTTTTTTTTTTCAAAAATCACCCATGTGTAACTCGAATTACTGAAAAAACACTTTTGTTAAAAAATTGGCAAACCCCCCTATGAAAATTAATCAAAGGCAATAAAGTCCCTAACAGCTTATCTTGTGTTGCATGCATGGATTGTGCGACTGAGAGTGTATTTTTGACCCGAAAAGACAAATTTTCAAAATTACAAATTCACCCCAAAATTCTATATGCCCCAAAATAAAGTTTTCAAAATTTGCAATTCAATCCTTCCCATTTCCAAAAATGCCATCTTCCCAAATCAAACCACAAACGTCACTCCAGCCGGCAACCATCTTCACACCGAAAAACATCACAGGAAGAGAGCCACGGTCACCATCGTACCCGCCTCCACCACGTCCGCCCCCATAACCACCTCCCTCACAACGTCCATATCCACCACCATCGCCGCCGCGGACCTTTTAAATTGCTGGTAGACGGTAGCTCTCCGACGTGTGCGGCGGTGGATGCACCATTTGAGGAATTTGATAGAAAGTTGTTTGGGTTCGCATTTGGGGGTAGGAGTGAGGTGAGGGAGTGGGTGGTGTGTTGGTTTGACGGGGAAGATGAATTGTATTATCCTCTCTCTTTTTCCTTTTCTTTTTTCTTTTTGGATTTGGTTTTCAATTTTTTTTTTGTGGGATTCCTTTTTTTTGGGTTGAATATTTTTATTATGTTTTATTTTGAATTCACGTAATTTTATCATTTCATCTAAGTCTAGAGGGAAAAAACAAAAAAAGGGGCGGTGCACTTTGTCAAATATAACATAGGGGGTTTCTTGCTAATTTTTTTGATACAAAGGGTTTTTTTGCAATTCAAAATTACACAGGGGCTTATGTGCAATTAACTCGCACCGAAAAGAGATGCCATACACAACCCATTTTTCATTTTCAAAGGAAGAAGAAGAAATAGAAACTTAAATTTAAATTCAAAATATTTGTGCGTAGTACACTTTTCTCAAATCACAAAGATACTAATTTTGAGAGGATACACTATTCTTTATTCTTTATATGTCCCTATTTTTTTATTATTTCGTTTGGAATTTCTATCTCCGGCTAATAATATTACACGTTGACCGTCAAACGATGAACATCCACTACCGTTTCCCCGTTTGGTACAACGTTAATTTCTTGCGGACTCGAAACCGCGTCTCCGTTGATGATTTTAGCTTCATATTCACCATGGAAAAGAGAAGCCTCGAAGAAGCCATTAGAATCGGTGGTGCCACGTAGGCCATCGGCATGAGTCAACTCGTTTCTAAAACCGTCGACGACATTTCCGGTATCTAAGTTTCTGAAATTACTGTCCGTTAAACACATGGTGTAACAACCCTGTGGGCTCCACGCCGTCCACATCATAATGCCTTGTACTGCGTAATGCGAGTGAATCTCCCTTAGTGCCTGGTTCAAAAAAATTGCCTGCCCAAATATAACACATGCAACATACTTATTAGAAAATTAACTTTATTAATTATTAGATATAACTAATATTTATAAGAATTTAAATTTTACCTGGTTGGGCCCGGGTTTAACGTCCAACTCAGTCACCCAAAGAGGCAGTTTAGCAGAAGCAAGCATATCAAGGGCGGATCTCGTGTACGGCAAATTCAAATTACCAAAATGCCCCTGCGCGCCAATACCCAAAGGACCACCATACCTTCCCCGCCTCATCTCATCAATCTTCTGCAAATACCTCGACGGCGACGCAACACCGTCGGTGCTCTCCTCAATGGTGTTGAACTCGTTCAGAAACGGAATCGTCCTGCTTCCGTCAATCTTGTTTGCATACTTGTAATAAACGGTGGAAATGTTCGGGCCGAGCCTGCTCTCGAAGAAGTTCCAGTGCAGATTCTCGTTCACTACGTCCCAATGAATGAACCGCCCCTTGTATTTGGTCATCACCGAGATTAGCCTCTTTTGCGCGGCTGCAGCCAAGTCGTTCGCCGAAAGTCCCGGCACCCAATACGGCTGGTATTGTGGTTCATCCCATAATACATTGTGGCCGCGCATAGTGACTCCGTGCGATTTCGCTAGTGCGATCATCGCATCGGGAACGGAGTAGTCGACGGAGCCTCTGTTGTATTCGGTCGACACCCTGTGATATAATCATATTGTTATATAGCAACTAGTACCGTACCTCATGTGCTAAAAACAAAATTGAATCATAAGGGGGGTTTTGGTAATAAAATAATATGGGGTGGTTCTTTTAGCAATTTCGATATAATACAGGGGTGCTAATTAATTGCAATAATTTCTTATGAATTTTATTTACCATTTGAGTTCGTTTTCGAAAACGGTGTATTTGAATCTGGAGAAGAACCAGTTTTGGTATGCAGAGTTTCCGATGATGTTTTTGTTGATGGCGGTGCCGAAGGGGAAATTGGCGTTGTTCTGTTTGATTGAAACGGTGGCGTTTGGTATGGGCTGGCCGTGCTGATCCACCGCCTGGAATTTCACCTTTGATTTGCGGAACTGCATATACAGGAAAAATTAAATTTAAATTAAATTTAAAGAAATAAAAAAATGTGAAAAACTTAATAAAGTTAATTTTTAGAAATGAATATCACCTTCTCAATGCTTTGATCTTGGTGGGATTTCCACTCTTGTTGAGTAAATGGCTGCAACGAAATGCTGTCTGCCCAAATATCAACATTTGTATTGTTGCTCTGCAAATTATTTTAAATTTGTATTAATTCTCTATTAGTGGAGTAATAAATTAGTGAGTTAGTAAGATATTTGTTCCTTACATTGGATTTGATATTGAAATTCGGGCGAATTATGGCCACTCCTCTGTTGGTAAGTTCAAATTACGAAAAAACCCTTTATGATTGGATAGTTACAATCACCCCCTCAATTATGTATTGTCTTACGATAAAACCTCTTATTCAGTAGGTGAATTTGACACCATAGGATAGACGTGTAAGACAATACATAGTTGAAGGAGATGGTTGTAATTACCTATACATGAGGGGTTTTTTCGTAATTTGAGCATACTTCATAGAGTGGCCGTAATTTGCCCTTGGAACTATTAAAATTCGGTATTAAATGTGATTTTTTTTTTCTACTAATTTATATCCCTAACAATAATCATAATCTAATTTGCATCATTTTTGGTAAGAAATCGACTCTAATATATTTTTTTGGTATTAAATGTATTTTTTCTTAGAAATTCAAAAAAAAAAAAAAAAAAAAAAAATCAAACCTCAAAATAGAGTTCAGCAGGGCCAGAAACATTGACCACTAGTCCACCTTTGACCATTGACCAACAACCCTTATGGGCAGTTATCCAGCCAGCATATACATTGCTTGTATTTGTCTTGAAAATTGCTGCTATGTATGCATCTTCATTGCTTACTTGCAACCATGCTACATAAATTTTGCAAAAAATAAAATAAATAAATTATGAATTTTGTGAATTTATTGAATGTATACATATAAATATATACGTACGTACCGGAGAAAGTGTAGAGTTTTTCTTTCTCTAAGTTAAACTTTTGCGAGAAACTATGAAACGGTTGTTTTCTTGCGGAAGCAACAATGTACTTGTTGCCATCATCGGATTCTCTGTGCTCCACCGTTGAATCTTCGAATTTTGTCCATCCTTTCAATCCTTCGTTTAATTCGGGATTCACAATCACTCCTCCCTCGTATTGAGGCTTTAACGGTTTTGCTAAACACTGAAAATATATAAATACAAGAAAATTAATTGAAAATAGTAAATTAAAAAAACCATGCATGCATAGGAAATTAAAAAGATTGGTTATATTAATTTTGGGACTTGCCTCTTTTGTGTATGAGTAATCATAAGGTACTGCATAAACGTGAGAACCTGTATATATGTATCACCAAATTAATTCAATTCAATTTATTGAAATAAACTTATAATTATTATTTGGAATTATAAAAAAAAATGATGAAGATGAACTAGTACCGATGACGAGGCATAGAATCGAAAACACGATGAGACAAGAATTTAAGATCTTAGTCATTGTTTTTGTTTTCAATAATGTAGGATGCATGTCAATGCCATTCATTGTGTTATATTTATAGAGATGATATGAAAGAATTTGATTGTAAAATTAATTTTTTTTCCACTTTTGATCATTGACTTGCACTCTATTTACAAAATAAGATTGTAATAATATTTAAAAATAATAAATATATTCAATATGATTGTCTTGATATATAATCACTATATCTATCAGAAATGAAATTTATCAAATATTTTATTCAAAATTATGCATTTGACTTGCTTATTTGACTGTATATTAAAAAGAAAAAAGAAATCATATTTGATTAATATGTGTAAACATAGAAATTTTGAGATAAATTACTTATTAATATATAATCAATTTATTTTGGTTATTAATTAGGTCTCGAATTAAAGTCCATAATATATTTGGGTTTTAAAATGTCCGGCCCATGCTGCAAATCATGAAACTCTAGCTTGTGCTAAGAAACCCTAACTTGCGTCTATAAAAGAAGGCATTCTATGCATGTAAAAATCAGACTCACATAGATACATATCGAGCTCTCAAGCTCAAGTCTCGAGCCTACGCCTCGAATTCATAACATATTTGAATTCGAGGTGTTTATGTTAATTCGATTCAAGAACAAGCTTTTAAACCCTTGAATCAAATCTAGAACATGAGAGAAGAATCAGGGGAATTCACGGAGATTGTATTCCGCTTTCGTTTGATTATAAACTATTTGTTCCCTATTTTCATGTCTCGTATTTTTATTATATTTTGCAGACTCGAAAATTTGTGGTTTACAATATGTTATTCAAATTCTTCGATATGCTATTTAGTAAAAATTCAACTCTTTATTATTACAAAAATACTATGAAATATTTTTCCCAATTCCAAAGATTGTATACATTACAAAAATTACAACATAATTACGTGTTGTTGTTGTTGCTGTGCCCACGAGATAGCACAAACTTCACCGGTATGATATTATTGGGCTTTCCGAAAAGCCTCATGCCAATAAAGTTTTTATCCTCACTTTATAAACCAATGACCATTCCCATATTAAATCGATGCGAGACTTGGTTTGCATCTCAACAGTGACATTATATAAAGTAAACAATGTAATTCTAATCAATTCAATTAATCTTATCATCAATCCATATTTCCAAAATCCTGCACTTGTGCAATTCCTAACTAATGCCAATGTAATCGTGCTAAGTTTTACAGGTATTTGTTTGCACAAGAATTTTTGCCTATGTACGGCTTGGTTATGTTTACATGCAAAATCAGTCAGCCTTTCTCTCGATTCTCTTCCCACAAACTCACAAGAACTTTGATCAAACAAGTAAACGAAAGAACAGGGCCGGCCCTGGGGTGGTGCGAGCAGGGCCCACGCCCAGGGCCCAATGTCATAGGGGCCCAAAAGTTTCATATTTTGATATATATATTATATATTTTTATGTGTAAAAATTGTTTTATTGTTTTAAAAAAAATTATTCTTCTATTTTTAAATTTTTTTTCTCTTTTATTCTTTTATTCTTTTTTCTTTTTTATAAATTTATTTTAAAAACAGATTTGAAGTTTAATATTTTTTTTTTATTCTAACATTTGCTTTACACAAAAGTTTTTTATCTAGACAGGTATATTTTCAGACTTCTATTTATCAGGTTTCTGTTATAAATAATTTATTTATATTATTTCATTAAGCTTAAGATGCTGAAAAAAAAATCCGAATGTTGCCGCAAAACTACCGAACAATTATATTCTCGCCCCGGGCCCCTGAATACGCCGGACCGGCCCTGCGAAAGAATCAACTAGTATGCATCGAAAAACAAACACACACACAAGCATGTTTGTGGGCAATGCCCAACCTTTATATTATCTCTCGCAAATATACAAATAAAAACCAAAGTACACTCACAAAATTCGACCTCAGATGCTCAACAATGCAATCTGAACTTTCTATGTCTAGATGAGTTGGATTTGTGAACTCATAGCCATGTAAATACAAGGAAGCTGACAGTTTACGCATTAAACTACCTAGGGACACTTGGCGGCAACCATAACTTATACTTGACTAACAATTACAAGCTACAAGGGGCAATTTTCATGCTTTCTAGTCCTCAACCTCTTCGCACCTGCTCTCCAAACTGCCTAGGAAGTCGGTTTTTGGGCGCCTGCCCAATCGGGGTGTGCGCACACACCAAGCGGTCCACACAGCCCAACCACTTGCTAGACAGTATGCCTTGCGTGAACAATGTCAGTTTTGCCCGCACACACCGCCAACCTTGTCTGCATCGGTCTGCCTACACTGTCGAGAATCAACCGTGCCAGCCTTGTCCACAATATTTTTCCGAGATGCCAAGACTCACTCACTTTTAATATTAAAAATTCAATTTTGTCCTTCAAAATACATTGAAAAGAAGGGTAAACAAATAACAATAATTCATTCAGGTGGGGCAAAACTATATAATTCCATAAGTTGAGGGAGCAAAGTGACAATAAACATATATTTATGGGGGTCAAACGACATTCACCAAAATAGAATCTGGAAACCGTGCGTTAAATCTGTTCCTCACTGGGATTGGCTTAGGGGTTCATTTCACTGCAACATTTTCACCACCGCCGCTGCCTACCGACAAAAGTGGTGGCGCCGCCGAGTAGTTTCCTTAATCCAAAATGTCACGTCGGGAAGATCGTAGCTCTGAATCAAAACGTCGCCGTTCCGGCTTCGACCGTGAATCCAGGTAATTTAAAAAAAAAAACCTCGAATTTTGCGTGATTTTCTAATTTTTGCGACGATTTTGTGTTTTCTGTTGTCAGATTGGAAGAATAATCATCCAATTGTTCCTAATTATTCTTAATTTTTTTTTTTTTTTTTGTATATGTTGCAAGCCCTAAAAAATCGAGGGGTGGTAAACCGGAAACCGGGCCGGAAAAAGACCGATCGGAGCGGGATTTCAAGCAGCACCGTACTCTCGATTCAAAGGTTGAATCTGGAACAGTGAGTAAAGATTCGTTAAGTACCAAAAAATACTCTCAGGTACTGATTCTGCTCATTTGCAAAATTACTTCATATACCCCTGAGTGATTGTATAGTGTGAAAATCGATCATATGTCATCGAATTTTTTTTTTCAGTATACACAATCTTGTAGAAACTAATGATTTACGTATATTTGAGCTGTCTTAATTATCATTCTGTTTTCGATTCGATAGTAAAAATCGACTAATCGTTGTCGTTGGAGTGTTGTGAAATTGTATTCTCTCGTCCGTTTATTATAGACGAAAAAAAGAAAATGATTACGGGGGTAATTGTGGAAATATCAGCCCCTGATATATAACAGTGTTAGGGCTGCCTGTGCATGTATTTATAGCAGCACGATGATCGAGGTAGTGTCGGGCAGAATGGCAGAAGCTTCAGTCGCAGAACCGACAATGGTGAGCTTTTAGCTATTGTTATTGCTCTGTTTATTTTCTTGTTTTTTTTCGTTTTTGTTCGTCGGAGGTTCTTTGAAACGTAATTTGTTACTCTTATGGATTTCAATGTTGCATGAGTTAGTTATATTATATGCTTCAATTGCATTTCGCAACGAGCCTATTTTCCCAAACTCGTTTCTGTTCAGATATTTCGAAAAAAGCAAGATTATTTAGGAAACTGGTAAATCGAAATAATATAATGGTTAAATTACAACCACCCCTGAGGTATGGTCGATTTACGAAAAAACCACTCTTGTTTGGATAATTACATCTACCCCTCAACTATGATTTTTTCTTGCACCTCCACCCCTATGGTGTCGAATTCAACATAATCATCTAGATTTCGTGGAATGTGCTCTAGTTTGTACTCGTTTTGTGGAAAAATACAGTTTCTGATGCACCACAATTTGATATATACAAGCCAAAAAACACATCTTATGATCATCTTGCTTCAAAATGTAGAGTTCGAATGGGTTAAAACGGGTACAAAAGTGATAATATTCCATATAATCTCGAAGATTCCACTAAATTTGAAACCGCAAAAATGGACGTGTAAGGAGATTTATAGTTGAGGGGTGGTTGTAATTACCCAAACATGAGGGGGATTTTCGCAATTTGACCATCCCTCAGGGGTGGTTGTAATTTACTCTAATATAATTGACCTGACCCCCCCCCCCCCCCCCCCCCCCCCCCCCGCTGCTTTGTATATCTTCTAGTTTCATGATTTTCCGGACTTGTCTGAAAGCTCCTCTATTCTTTATTCATAAGAGTAGAGTGCCTAGCTTCTCGATAGTCGACTTTCTTCTGCTATTTGACATAAGAGATGGAACTAAGATTTTTTTATTAAAGCAATTTCGGAAGTACTTGCTTTGGGGTGGAAATGAATCTTTATCAAGAACTGATTGTCTGAAATATATATATTTTTTTATTTTTTCTCAAGAACGTGGATGGTGGAGAGATTCCAAGCAGGAGCAAAATGACAGAGCAATAAACGACAGGGAAGAAATCAAAGCAAATCCAAAACCTCTCATGCGTAAAAGACCTTCTTTTAGAGAGCAAAAAACTCCGGCCGATGCAGAGAAAGCTACAAACCCTAATCAAGATCATCCTGCAGAAAGTGGAAGAAGAAGAAACGAGAGAGTATATTCGTCTCGACATTCTGACAAACCCGAGAGATCGTTTGCAGGTGAGAGAGAGTTGAACAAGGCTCAGAGGGTTTCTTCAAGGAGTAACTTTTCATCGGGCGATAGATACAGAGAGGGGGGAGATAGATTCACTGCCAGGCAAGGGTATAATCGTCCAAGTGGGGCCCGTGTTGAGAAATGGAAGCACGATCTTTACCATGAGGCGAATAGGAGTCCAACACCGAAGAATGAAGAAGATCAGATTTCGAAAATCGAAGCTCTTTTAGGTTCGTAAATGTTTAGTTTGCTGCTTTATGTTGTGAGGATTTTTGCCCATATTATCTCCCCTTTTTTTTCCTCTCACAAGTGCAGAGTTAACTTTTGTAGTTGATTGTGCCAAACAATTTAGTTTTCTTGTAATTGACTCTGCTTTGAGAGATATTGAGGACTAAAATGACTATATTAATGCAAGGAGGGGTTTTTCTGCATTTTCGATACAATCAGGGGTTGTTTTGCAATTTAACCGTTACATATGACTTCAGGGGTTATCCGGATACCTAACATATTCGCTTTTACAAACTTGATATAATAATGTAAAGTTGAGAACATTTAATTATGGAAAATAGTATTTATAATGTCCATACATACATTTCACATTACTACAAACTCAGAATTACTTTCCTCTACGTAGCACGAAAATTTTAACTTTTTAATGTTTCCGTGTTCCGGATATGTTTCGTGTTGGATACGACACATGTCGGACAATTTATGGGCCATTTTGCAATTTCTAAAAAAATAGAAACATGTTTGAATAGCAAATTTTCAAATATTTTTGTTACTTCCCTAATTATTTACACGATTTAATGATCAATTGCAAATTGCTAGTTGATTGTAAAATTTATTTTAAATATGTCTGAACACGAAAACTTATACATGTTCATCGGGCAATTTACGCCCACCCCCTGAGCTATGGCCAAATTACGAAAAAAAGCCCTCTTATTTGGGTAATTACAGCCATCCCTACTTTTCAATATTTTTACATAAAATTTATGTAATTTAGTTATTTACCAAAGCAAATCGTATATTCAGTTCGATAAACAGTATGAAATGTTGGCGTACCGAAAATTCGGTTCGATTTTACCGATTTAACATTCCTAAATTTACAGCTGGAGAGGTATTTTCGTAAGATAATACATAGTTGAGGGGTTGGCTGTAATTACCCAAACAGGAGGGGATTTTCTTAATTTGACCGTACGTCTGGGGTGGCTGTAATTTGCCCTATGTTTATATAACATATTTACAAATATAGCCCTATAATTTTAATATTTACACACACAGCTTTCAGCCCAAAATTATATAGATTATTCCAAATTCCGGTTCAGACTTTCCGAGTGAAAAATTCATAGGCGTGTTTGTTGTTTTCCCATGCTGCTGCTATGGCAATTGAACACCTCTGAATTTTACATTTGCAATCGTTCAAATTTTTCTTTTTTTTAAGGATTAGGGCTAGGTTTTTGCTGTAATTGCGGCCGTGACAAGATTGATTGGAGTTTTGTATTTAAAAAAAAGGTTGGGTTTCTTGAATAATATTACAATTTATCCCCCTTCTTATTCTGATGGCAGCGTTTCTTCATTCTAATGTTTATTTTTTACTTGAATTTTGAATTGGGATTTTTTTTTTCTGAACACCTTCCACTGTGTGTTTGTGTGTGTGTTCTTGCTCAATTTATTTCTGTTGATTTCATTGGCTATATAAGCTGTTCCCACTTCAATAATTACATAGTTCTTGTTATAGGTCTTAGCTGCAGCAGAATTATAGCATGCAATTTGGGATATAATCTCGGAATGGATAAATTTTTGGATGATTTATTCGCCAAAAGGTGATCTTCTTGATTGCAAAATCATACACTAAACTTCGAATTTCATTTGATGGCTAAGTACATTTTGTTAATAGGGGTTCGGTAAGGGAGGGAGCACTATCTTCGATTATCGAAGGCTTTACAGCCAACCATCGCCTTCAATTTGCCGAGAAAAAGTTAGTGCAAAAAAAAAAAAGAAGAAGATTGTCGAACGATTAATCTTAACTTGTACGTATTTTTCTGCACCTTAATACGATGTTCTTTTGTAGTTTTGCGACTTTACTATACCGATTTCTGAATTCTTTGAAGAAGGGTTCTTCCAACGAGATTGTTTTGGCTTCTCGAGCCCTCGGTAATTTTTTCCATTCTTAAATACAACGAGATTATAAATATTGCGTTTTATCGATTTTTTTTTTTTTTTGCGTGCAGGATTGTTGTCGATAACAATAGGGTGTGGGGATAATGCTCGTGAGCTTTACAACGAGTCACTTCCTTTAATCTCACAAGCTCTTAAGTCCAAGACTGAATCGTTATTGTTATCTGTATGTAGGACGATAATCAGTAATATTTACGTTTTAACCTCTCGTATTTTACTTGTCTTTATCTTACTTCTTTTCGTTAGGTGATTGAGTGTCTAGCTATTGCAACTTTTGTCGGTGCAAATGATTCCGAGCAGACCGAAGCTTCCATGAAGATAATATGGCATTTCATTCAGGCGAGCTCAAGTGAAAATGTATGTGTGATCCCTTTTTACCCTTTTCGTTAAATTACTTATCGATTCTTGAATTCTATTTGCTAAGCCACAATTTTTGTTGTTGTTTTCGTCTTAGGTTGTAGTGAAAAAACGTTCGTCGTCTGTTATGTCTGCTGCTATTTCTGCTTGGTCGCTTCTTCTCACCACCGTTGATGGTTGGAACCTTAGCCACACTTACTGGCAGGGGTAATTAGATTTTTAATTTTAGGGTAAATTACAACCACCCCCTGAGGTATGGTCAATTTACGAAAAAACCCCTCTTGTTTGGATAATTACATCTATCCCTCAACTATGATTTTTTCTTACACCTCCACCCTTATGGTGTCGAATTCAACATAATCATCTAGATTTTGTGGAATGTGCTCTAGTTTGTACTCGTTTTGTGTAAAAATACAGTTTTTGATGCACCACAATCTGATATATACAAGCCAAAAAACACATCTTATGATCATCTTGCTTCAAAATGTGGAGTTCGAATGGGATAAAACGGGTACAAAAGTGATAATATTCCATATAATCTCGAAGATTCCACTAAATTTGAAACCGCAAGGGTGGACTTGTAAAAATATTTATAGTTGAGGGGTGGTTGTAATTACCCAAACAGGAGGGGGTTTCGTAATTTGACCATACCTCAGGGGTGGTTGTAATATACCCTTAATTTTATTTTATTCAAATTATGTTTTTTAGTAAGTTTTCGGACGTACTAAAAATTTTGTGCAGAACTGAATAATTTTTTTTATCAGGGCAATTTCTTGCTTTCTGAATCAACTAGAAGTGGACGATCGATCTGTCTCGTTAGCAGCTGGTGAAGCTATTGCGTTGATATGTGAAGTCGGGTGCCTCGACAAATTCACTAGCAATATTAAAATTGACGAAATTAATTCGAATGATAAGGGGAAAAACACAACGGATCAAGATTTCTCCGTACAAGAACTACGAGAAATAATATCCAACCACGCCACGAAACTTTTGCAACAAACTTCACTGCAAAGTGCCGCCACTAAAGCAGTGAATGGATGGAGCAACTTTTCCCATAATATTTTGAAAGTTTTAGAGGTATACATACATAATACATACATATACAATTAAACCTCTATATATATATATAATTATATAATTAATTTTGGGGGGTAAAAACTTTTCCCTTAATAATTTTATTGTTTCAAAATATGGAGAAAGTTTTAGAGGTATACATACATAATACATACATATACAATTAAACCTCTATAAATTAATACAGTCGGAACTAGGGAAATTCTATTAATTTAGTGAATTATTAAATTTATCGAGTTAATAATTTAACACGTTTTCACCGAGTCGGGACTGGGAGAAACTATTATTTAATCGAGGTTATTAATTTATCAAGGTTCTAATATATATATATATATATATATATATATATATATATATATATATATATATTTGGCGTTACATCTTAATCTTTTTAGGATGGTTGCTTCGACGAAAATGTTTTGAAGATCGGCAAACACAGCTTGCAGTTAAATTCGCTGTCCCAATTATTACAGGTACGTATTTTTTTGGGCAAATTACGGCCACCACCGAGTTAAGCCCAAATTACAAAAAAAACCCTCATGTTTGGATAATTACAACCACCCCTTCAACCATGTATTGTCTTACGAAAAAACCCCTCCTTAGTAGGTAAATTTGACACCGTAAGTGTGGACGTGTAAGACAATACATAGTTGAAGGGAGTATTTGTAATTACCCAAATATGAGGGGTTTTTTTCTCGTAATTTGAGCATACCTCAGGGGAGTGACCGTAATTTGCCCTTTTTTTTTTTTTGACATGGTACTATGTTATTCGACGAGTCTCTCCTATACTTAACTACTCAAATAATTCTGTTTTGAATTTATAGGTTGATTTTATCAAGCGTTATCTAGGACGTGGATTTGTCCCACACATGCTGGTCGGATATCTTCTTCTTCCTTCTTAGTGTTGTTGTAATAAATACTACTGCCTCGATAATATTTTAAGACATTTATTTATGTGTTTTTTTTTTTTGTAATAGGAAAATGAATTTCTACATGATGTCTTCAACTTCACACCAAATAAACAAATGTCGGGGGATAAGCTATACATTTCTGAACGAGAAGAGGTCTAGTTATTTTTTGTTTTATTTTCTTGATTTTTTTGTTTTTTTTGAGTATCGGCTGAAACGGGTTTTTTTCTGATTATATTCGCATATTTAGGTTACTGTGAATATTTTTGTGCCGGAATTCAAACAGAGAGATTGTGAAGATGACTTTGGAGTAAGTTTTTTCAAGTTTCACCTTTATTTATTTATTTATTTATTAATTATTATTTCTCGTAATGTAGAGTACTCTGAGGCCAAAAAAACCGGCTTTCGGGAAAGCCAAGACGCAAATATTGAACAAGCAACGTTTGCTAAAAGGTTCGTTAATCCGCATTTTCTTTCTCTTAAACCAGTTTCATGTTAAGTTATTAAAAAAATTCCACCGAGTTTATCGGATCGATTAAAACGAAATAAAATTGCGTATGATATATTTGTGCGTAATCAGGTGAGGGACTTCGGCCTAATTACGATGATTAATGCGGAGGATGAAGCAGCAGAAACTATGGCTTACTCTCAATGATGACATTTATTACCTTGGATATTAAATTAAAGCATTGATTAAATGAAGCCTTTCAGGCAATTTATGTGTTGTGAGAGAGAAATGGAATATTTGTGTATTGTCTTTCATTTTCAAATACGTCAAGTAATATTTCGTTGAGGTATATTATTATAGGGTAAACTACGAAAATGTCACTGAAGTTAGGCTAAATTATGAAAAATACCCCTACCTACCCGTAATTATCAAAATTCGCCCGAAGTTTGTTTTCGTCTTACACCGAACCCTTCACAGTGTGATTTTTCATGTGATATTTTTGTTTTTAGAAAATATTCCCCAAAAAGTACCGATTCTAACCCTAGGAGTAGCCTCTTAAATGTAGGTGGTATTGATATACCTTCTACAATACTATCTTTTTCTTCAACATCACATTGTGATGTCAGTAAACTTCCTCGATTGCTAATCTGAATCATCGTAGCATATATAGGCAATTTTTAAGATAATATGCATGGCTACATTCAATCAGTCGACAGGGTTACATCGGCATTTTTTCAGGGAGTATTTCCTAGAATAAAAAAGATTACGTAAACAATCACACCTTTAGGGGTTCGGTGTAAGACTGAAAAAAAGATCATGGGGATTTTGGTAATTACGAATAAGTGAGGGTATTTTGTAGTTTAGCCTAAATTTAGGGGTGGTTTTGTATTTTACCCATTATTATAATATCGAAAGTGTCTATCTAGTAATTTACGGAAGAGAAGCATAAAAATTTGCATGTCTTTTCTATCGTTTTTAGTTATTTTGTAAATCAAAAATTGACTAATGAAAACCTAAGTAGACAAGAATATATTATTAAGTAGACAAGAATATATTATCAACATATTAACTATTAGAATAAATATCTCAACAAGCTGGAATAGCTCAGTTGGTTAGAGCGTGTGGCTGTTAACCACAAGGTCAGAGGTTCGACCCCTCTTTCTAGCGGAATTTTAATTTTTTTTTCTGCCTTTTAAATTTGTTTTACTACCTTTTTTTTCATTTTTGCCTTATTTATTCCTCCAATAATCCAATTTCTTTTACTACCTTTTTCATTTTTGCCTTATTTATCCTCCAATAATTCAATTATATTTTTCTACATTTTTTTATTTTCTATTTAAAAACCATGGTTTATGTTTTCTATGCACTCCATTCTTAATAGTTTAAATTAAATACTAATAATCATATTTTATTAAATATTTATACTATTTGATTTATTTAGTCCTCCATTATCTACCTTTTTGTTTTGATTTATTTCATCATTTCACTTATAATGTTGTGACAATTAATTGTACACTCAAGTGTAAAATGACATAATACCCCTTATAAATATTGAGCAGTTTCGTTTTTTCGTTTATAATATAGATAGGTTCAACTCATATACCATCAAGTTTACAAATTAAATTAGAAACTCGAACTCATATACCATAAAGATTTATAAATGTAGACTCAAACATAGCTCATATATCATTTCAGACGTCATATTTAAATTGGGTTCAAATCGAGCTTATAACACTAATATGTAAATTTCATGGATGTAGTCCATAATATAAAATAATTTTACGTAATATTCCAAATACAAAAATCAAGTCATAAATTATGATAAAACTAAATAAATTTCTAATAGTTTAGAAAAATTATATTTCATGAAAAAAAATGCTACATGAACATTTAAAGAAGTTTGAATGCATTTCAAGTAAAATAAAGATCATATATGATTAAATATATAACTATGTAATGATTTAACATTTTAAATCAAAAAGCTGGAATAGCTCAGTTGGTTAGAGCGTGTGGCTGTTAACCACAAGGTCAGAGGTTCGACCCCTCTTTCTAGCGTGATTTTATTTTTATAATTCTCCCTATTTTCTTTTAATTTTTTTTAATTCTTAATTATTAAAAATAAATAGTAATCATCTTTATTTATTCTTTTTGATTTATTTATTACTCCCTTTTTTTGTACAATTAAAATTCCTAATTCCTAAATTTCTGCCTAATTTTCCAGATATGAAAAGGTAAATAAAAAACAAAACCACATTTAATTAGTGAAAAAAGAATAACAAAAATACCAAAAAAAAAAAAAAAAAAAGGCACACAATATTCACGAGTTTCATACAACAGCCAATGAGAGAAGCTTGTGTGATTTAATTAGTGGAAAATGAATACTTTTTTTTAGTCCTCATCAAAGAGATCGAATACGTCGCCGCTTTAGTTACGTTTCCGAATAATAATTAAAACCAAAAAAAATTAAAATACCAAAAATGGCATCCAAATATTGTATTATTTCGCGTGTGGAAATCTTTAAATCAAGTCCTAAGTCCATTCCATTGTATGCTATAGGAGAATACTTCC